ATATTTTAAATAATTCATATTGTTCTTAAAATTATCTTAAAAATAAGTATAAAAATAAATGAAATAAATAATAAAATTTGGATTAATATATTTGTAGTTGATATATATTATAAAGCCAATCAAATTTGATAACACAAAATTTTGACTAGAAAACCATCTTTTATGTTCTAATAATAAAAATTCCTTGCTAAATTTTGTTATAAGTTAAGCCGATACTACAATTAGAGACGCGTTTGTATATTAATTTTATATTAATTATAATAAAACTAATTAATTAATGGAGCCGATAAGCCAATTTGTGCCTTTAGTTACATTAATGATTATTTTATATGATCAAATTTATTAAAGTGTAAATTTCGCAACACAACTTTACAGCTGTATGAAAATACCAAACCATATTTGTTTTTATATGGTCTCCTTTATTGCGTAATGTAGATAATTTACGTATATACAATAAAAAGTAATTCTCTAAATTTGTTAAAACATTAAAATTTATTATAATATTATGAAAGTAAAAACCTTGATCTTATCATCTCATTCAACAGCAAAATTATTTGACTGCTGGTTTTCTTGTTCGCTCTGATATTCCCATTGATTAAAATTATCTACCTCCAACTGATATTGATAATCTGCTAGTCTTTCTTCTTCGTATTCATCAATCATTAACCCAGCTGCTGATACTTGTATAACATGAATCTTTTGATATTGCTTAACAGCAATCAAATCTTCTTGTTGATGTTGTTGAGACTCAGCCACTGCCACACTACTCGCATTAGCATTTACATTACTCTGCGCAAGTTTGTTAACACCATCAGCGCTGAAAACATTTTGAGATGCTGTATCTTGGTTTAATTCTTCAGCATGCTGAAGATCATCTAGCAGTGCATGCTGTTTATGAATGACTTGAGCTTCTTCGATTGTTACTAAGAACATATCACCTAATGAATCAGCGGTTTCATACTCGTAAGTTCGATAGACTTCCCACCAGTCATCAGATTCTTCCTCGTAATGTTTGTGAATCTCATGTTCTAATGATTGGGATGTTTCTTCTTGTTGAACAATATCTATTCTGGGACCTTTAAGCCTATTACCATCGGATGTCGTGGGTTGTGAATTTTTTAAACTGCGCTTTTTGTAAGGTCGAAGGAATGACGAGTCTAAGGATATTTTGGCAGGTGACGTTATCGATGAAATTTTGGGTTTGATAATTGTAAATGGGTCTTGTAAATCTAGCGTTGTAAAGTATTTAAAGTATTGTTTATATTCGAACTCATCAAAGTTGCATGATGAAAACATGATCCAAAGTAAAAGCAATGCAATAAACCATAAAATAACGGGTTTAATCGAGGGAATATCAAGTGATTTAACCATTTTGTTGAATATATATATATATATGTGCGGAAATATAGGATCGATGTGAGCGATATGATTGATTTATGTAAGAGAATAAAAAGTATTCATTTGAAGGGGACTTAATAATTAAAGTACGTTGCGTGTAACCATTTAAAAAAAAAAAATCTAAGTGAAGAAGACAGATTTATAATTTTATTTGCATGAAACTTGCCAAGAATTAATTCTCATGATGATAGATATGCAACCACCTTTTTTTCTGTAATCGACACATATTTTTATACTTCTGAATTTGTTCATGATTTAAAAATGCTTAATCAATCGATTGATGAATTCGAAAATGATTGATGATACTATTTATTGTCCGAAGCGTAGCGAGGGCTATAGATGCAGACTTATGACATCACCTAGTTACGTCCTATATAAAAAATCGGTTTATAAAATAAAAATGCAATTGAGTCGTAACTAGTGACGTAAATAAGTCTGCATCTATAGCGAGGACCCAATGTTTGTCAGAGTCTACCAATGAAATATGAAAAATGAAGGTTCTTTCGGTCAGTGTAATAATACTCAATAGAAAAGTTATCGTTATGTTATATTCCGCTTCGGACCTACATCAGATGATTTCAATTATTAATTGTCGCAGATCATAATGAAATCGGATTAAAATGAAATGAAGGGTTTCTATTTGTGTGCTGCAGTGCGAAAACCTGTAACTGATCATAATGATTTACTATGATCAGCTACAGGTTTTTGCTCTGCAGCACTCATTTGACTATAAAACCTGCTTCTAAACCCTAATCCTAAACCTAAAAAAATGTATTTTTCATTGGCTTGTCTATTTTACACTATCTCTTATTTCATTTTAATCCGATTTCATTTTAATCTACCACATTAATTAATCGGCACATACGTGAAATCGAGGTATGTTTTTCAAAGATATTGGCACTCAATAACTTCAACCTTGAATCGCAACAATATGAAATTCAAAACTCGCTCTGTTATCTGTTCTGACGCTCTTATAAACCCTAACCCCAGCACGCCTGCATTAGCTTAACACCAGATAGTTGATCCTTAATTCTGGTCAAAATAACTAAGAATCTTCTACAAGGCCAAAAGTCTAATGACCATCCAGATCTTATTTCAAGGGTCTTTAGATTAAAGCTTAAAGAAATCACCGATGATTTATATAAAAAAGGTATTTTAAATGTTAATGATCATTTTTTACTTTGGATTTAGGACATTCCGATTGCGATCATTAGATCATGGATCTTAGACCATCGTCAGAGTTTGTTCTTAATCTTCTCGAAGAAACTGCCTAATTAATTCATCCTAACATACCAACCTACGAAGCAAGAGCCCGGATCGTTGACGTCAGCTAAAGTGTGTAGCTCTACAAAAAATTCAGAACTATGATTTTTATAAATGTGAAGATCTAAGTAACAGTTCGATTACTCAGAGAAAACCGGATGTGTGGGCAACGACAAATATCGCTGGGGTTTCAGTATGTTGTATGTCGGAATGGAAGTTGAATCACTTAGGTTGATTTCGAATAAATATAGGCTGTTATAGAATTCTAATTGTATTCGAGTTGTTAAAGAATTCAATTTCAACTTTACAATGGTTTATTTATAACGCAGCGCATCGCAAATTGATTACATTAAAAGCATTACATTTATAGTTACTAATTACCACCACAAAGCAAATTCTTTTTTTCTTTACATTTACAATGATTTTTATTGCACGGATTTTTGCAATTGTATTTAATACTACCTACTTGTGGAGATTGCATAGTAGATGTTTCTTAAACGCCTTTAAGTGTTGAAAGAATACTATCCAATTCCGAAACCCAATGAGCACAAATAGGTTTGAGTCAAACTTAATAAGTTAAATTATAGGGTTTCAAGATCATGCATGGCAAATATATTGCTCGTCCAATAATATTCGAACTCTATAAATGTTTTGGCTTACCAAACTAATCCAAAAATATGAGTCCACATGGGCACATAAAGTGATAAAGCCCATTGTGAACTTCATTAAGGATGGGTTAGAGTCGGATCTTTTTATCCGATAGTAAGTTATAGTTTTGTCATCTAATTATTTGTATGATCTTGATTACTATATCAAGATCATAAGTGGAAACCAATTTTCCACTAATATCCAATGGGTCTTGATTATAGATGCAGACTTATTCACATCAATTTTACTTTATAACTAATTTGCTAACTTTTTATATAAGACATAAATAAATAATAAGTAGCATCTGTAATCTTGATTTATTGTATTATTTTTCCCAAAAGACATTTTCCGAAAAGAAATGATCCTGATTAAATCAACCAGCATTATAACTAACGCCAGCAGGATTATATTCTTTTGGCAAAATGATACAATGGATATTATTTACAATTCGTGTTTTTAAATAAAGTCTTTCATAAAAACTTATTTAGAGAGACCGTTACCAGTGAGGAAAGTCTGAAAATAAACAGTCTCCAGAGCCCGGATAAATTCATCCGAATAAAATTTCTGATATTAGAAATTTTATTCGGAAAAATTTCATACGGCCCAGTTGACAAGTTGGAGAAAGGGTGCAAAGATTCCTTTGACTGTATCCTAAGGAAGCGCTCAAATCTCACCATCCAGAGTCATTAAATCTTTTTTCAACTCATTCACACGGTTAGTACACTACAGATATACAGTATATTTTTTAACATTTCAAATCAATCTATTAATAATTTTTTTTTAATTAATGCGATATAAATATTTATTTGTATACTTTATTGTTTGAGATTCCTTGTAAAATTTAATATAAATTATCACTGTACTTGAACCCTATCCTAACTTTTATTTTTTGCATTTAAATTTCGTTACATGAATCTATAATACGTAATACTTGTTGTGTAAATAAAGAAATTTTCATCTCGTTACGTAATAACGAATATAGAATACTTTTACACATCTAGTAAAAAGATCATTTCCATATACATAGTGATAATCTGTTCAGCCTATTCAACTATCCTTTTATTTTGTTCTTATGCAATGCCCGCCACTCAAACACCTTTATGCTTTCATGAGTTTTTACAAATGGAGTCATTTGCCTTATCATGTAATTTAGATTACAAGTTAAATATTGAATTGATTATTCATCAGACAATAATGTATTTAATTGTCTTTACATAATACTAATGACATGTGAGTATTACAAGAAAGTAAATTATTTCTCTCGATGTCGTAAAGTGAAGATATATTCACTATCACATTTCCAGCAAGTTCTATCAGTCAACCCGAAGAAGTAAATGTGAAGTGACTGGTGATCTTGATTCCTGCATAACACAAAATAATTTAAGTTTTTTGTCATTACGTGACTACAATTGCTGAACTATTTGGGTTATTTGGGACGGCCAAATCATGTGATACTTACGTAACAAAACGGTAAAAACCCAAGTGATGTCAATTATCACATGGTTTGAGTTGGACGAGACTATAAACGACAACACTCACCTTAAATATTAATTCTTTTACGTAAGCAAATTATTAGTTCATTTATCAGTGACCCTTAAACTTTTTTGGAAGGTTATAAATCATTGTTTATGTATCGATTGTTTACACAAAACACGTTTAATAGATAGATTCATATTACAGCATCGATAAATTATATAGATGCAAAGACGATTAGGTGCTTCATCATTAGGAATATTAATTGTACTATTAAATTAAGATTAAACTTTTTTATTTTGATCAAGGATAATTTTAACAATCACTGGTATAATCACCGACAAAAAGAATGTTGATATATATACTTGCACAAATTTATGCAATCTGTGCTAACCAACTTCTAAAAGATCACCTTTTCTTTTACCAAGTTTTCTACCCTTCAACTTTTTATTCCTTCTCTTATTTGTTACTGAACTGTCTGTATCGGATCCTGTAGTATGAAAGCTTAACGCTGAGTCAGGTCTGAGTCGATTGGAAACCAAGGTAGGAGGTGGCACGAATTCAAAGATTGCTTGGAGCAATTCATTTTCCTGAAAATGTACGTGCAATCCTTCAGATAATATTTCCCGAAAAGCATTTAATTGAAGAATCTTTGCCCAACTAGAAAAGTATATTGTTTGTTTCTTAATCTTGAGCCGCTCTTGGACGCGATCTCCGCACTACGAAAATTCAATGTAAATAATTCAATAATGCGTTGTAAAATAATACACAAATTTATTATCCTAAATTATGGACAAACATATAAGCCAGTAAATGACGCCAACCTCTACAGTTTTGAGTACATCTCGAAACACAGACCTCTGAACCTTACGTTCAGCTTTCGCTCGATGGCGATTACTATCTGTGGCTAACGCGTTCAAGAGTTGAATCAAATGTTCCATATCATCGTAATCAACTTCATCTTCACCTTCATCATACTAATAACGCATCGATAATAGTAAAAAAAAAAAAAAAAAAAAAAAAAAAAAAAAAGAATATAATAAATTTTCAACATATGGGCATATGGGTAATTCAGACCAAAAAATGTTATTACGTCATATATAAAATTGGTCCGAGTTCAAAAATAATTTCTCATATGGCTGACTATATATTACTTATAGGAACAATGATGATTGGTATTTTTTTTTCGATTAAAATGAACATTCTCTTTCAGTATAATAGAAATGACATATATAATATGTTCGCGAACGTTAGATTGTGTGACTGCTCGTAATCTTGAGCTTATTTGCAACATCGTCGATCCACATAGTAATCACTCACTTTATGGTACGCAAAGAAAATTGTGTTGATAAATTATTTTATAATGTCTTATCTTTTTTATATCTGAAGGTGTCCTAAATAACACGTTTACGCCTATGGGAGGTAAGCATTTCCGACATTTTTGATCATATACAAGGAATTGTAAATAATAATATTTCATTAATTTGGTCAGCTCGTTTGTTACGGACAAATATTCTTCAACCATTGAATGGTAGTGACTTGTAGTCTATTTGGTCGAGTCCCTTGTTTATTTATTAATATTTCTCTAACATATTTTTTATAATAAGACATTGAAACAATTAATGTGCGCTTGGATTCGGTTGAAGGCATGTTACATTTTGTTCATTTAAAATTTCCTAACTTTATAATAATTTTTCATGCAATTAATAAAAATTATATATATATATATATAGAACTTATTCAGGATGAGGTATTATTATAATTATAACCTTTTTTGCATGTAAACCTATATCTTAACGATAATTTCGTTTTTATTTGCCTAGGAAACATTCTTCTCAGTTCAAGCAGGTAGGTTTCCACGATAAGTTCAATTAATGATTGTATTTTAATTCAGAGGTTACAACGTCTCGTGGTTTTAAACATTCCAATTTAATTTTTGTCATTCATGTAGCTCTCAAACCATTTCAAGATATTGATCATTTAATTACAGCTGTAATGAACCAATTTTTACATACGTTTTGACAATGTTCTTACGTGTGCACACTTAAAATAAGTAAAAATTTCCGTCGTTATATTATTGCAGCTAATCCAAGTCCCTCAAAAACCATCTATTAAACATGCTGAACAGAGTATTAATAATGTGATAATGCTTAAACATACATTGAAGCTAATTGAAAAATTGAGAGAAGCATTGAGTGGGTGCAAAAATTTGTTGTGCGCAATACATAAGGTAGGATGGATAAGCTGGAATATGTGTCGCGGTATTCGGAGCGATTACATAATCGAAAATTTTATGATATTCGTAGTTTCTTTCGGATCCAAGGTTGACAATGCTCGAGGAACGTATAAATGAAGTAATAAATGAAGATATTACATATCAAAAAAGTTCGCTTGGATTAAGGAATCAACGTTGTTATGCTGTTAAGGTAAATATTTGCATTACTATTTAATTATAAGGTGGCCGCATATTGACCGGTACTTTACTTAGGCGGGATTCAATGGATTATTAGACGTTGGCAAGTATAAAAATTGCATTACACGAAATAACTGCCTTATAATTTCAACCTTATTTTACCATACTTTTAGCTCGACAAACTTACAAAGAAACAGTCAACGATATATACAAAAAAGTGGAACAATATAATAGTAAGTCAATGACGCAAAATCCGATAAAAATCTTTAAAAGCATAAATCCAACACAAAATATAACCTTTTTTTTAGAACAATATGATATCCCATTAAAAATACAGTTCAGTCCGACAACAGGATTTTATTTGTCTATTTCAGTTGAACATTTGGGCGAGCGCCAACTCCCTCTCGTATTTATCAATGTTAGCAAGAAAAAGAAGACCCTGACTTTTACTACATTGGAATTGGTATACATTTAACCTATTATTTAATTTAATATTATATATTAATGTTATAAATGATTATAATACTCTAATTATGATTTCTCATGCTTTCAAGATGAAAAAGAATACTAAAATTAATGATTCTCTAACTGAAGTTTATTTGATGTCGGACAAGTATGAATTTTTATTACATAAAATTTGATTATTTAATTGATTTCATCTTGCATACGTAAATATTTTATGATTAATAAGGACAATCGAAGATCTGATCTTAGAAATACGGGGTAGCATTGCTGTCTTTTATAAGGCATCTGAATCAATTGCCATGCTGGATATGTTAACATCTTTTGCCCATCAATGTACCGTTTCGAATTATGGTATGATATCAGAGAGATAATGTTTTATTTTTAGACACGTACATAAACAATATTATTTTTAAATCTGTGGCAGTTCGTCCTGAATTCACAGATACATTGGCTATTAAAGATGGAAGACATCCAATGCGCGAATTTCTCTACACAGATCACTTTGTTCCTAATGATACATATGCGAGCGATGCTACAAATTTTCAATTAATAACTGGACCAAATATGAGTGGCAAGAGCACTTATTTGAGGCAGATTGCCTTGATGAATATTATGTCACAGCTTGGATCATTGTAAGAAAAAAATCTAACTTGTACTTTTCTGTGTGGTTTATTTGAGCATTTACATTATGATATCGATTTTAGTGTTCCCGCGGAATACGCATCTTTCAGACTGGTTGATCAAGTAACCTCTTTTTTTTTTTAAAAAAATAACATATATTAATCGATTTCGAACGTATTATTAAAATCTAATTTTTACAAAGCTTTTTACACGTATATGTAATGACAATAACATTGAAACCAATGCAAGTACTTTTATCGTCGAAATGAGAGAAACTGCATACATTTTGCAAAACATAACTGACAACAGTTTAGTTATTATAGATGAACTCGGAAGAGGTGAAAACAAGTTCAAATAATAAATTTTCATTATTTCAAAAAAGTTAATATAAACT